ATAGAGACAGAAAGCAAGAAATCACCCCCCAGGGGGAATGGTCACGCCACAATCCCTTCTCCTCCATTCTCCTCTCAGGATCTTGGGCACGCACGCACACGCACCCGGCGTGAGTTTTAAGCCACCGGGTCCGGGACACGAACTGCGTCGACTACGTGGGAGTCCAGCGACATAGCCATTACGCTAACTGCTGGTTCCCAGCATTTTTAAAAAATATATACTTGTTGGCCATTTTCTTGTTTTCTTTTGAGAAATGTCTACTCAGGTTATTTGCCCATTTTTAAAAATGCTGATTTTTCTCCTGCAGAAGTTTCTTGTATATTCTGGTTCTTAATTTCTTACTGGATAGCTAGTTTGTAAATATTTTCTTCCGTTCTATACGTTGTCTCTTCACTCCATTGTTTACTTTTCTGTAAAGAAGCTTTTGAGTTTGATGTAATCCCGTTTATCTATTGTGCTTTTGTTGCCTGTGCTTTTGAGATTGTACTCAAAAAAATCATTAGCCAGACCAATGAGAGGGATGCCTTTGTTAATTAGCTAGATTTAACTCTTCCATAATGTATATATATTCAAAGACATTGTGTATTACACAATAAATACATTTTGTATATTATTTGTTTATGATTTTTTTTGATAAAACAAAAAAAGTTAACTGTGATTTATCATCTCAGTCAGATTTTTCTGTCATTGAAGTTCTATTTGTGGCTTTAATAAGCCAATCCAGCCAGTCTAGGCAGTACAGGAGTGAGGCCCATATTCTCTAGTCACTCAAACCCTGAGAGTTGAAAAAGGAGAGACCCATGGTGTTGATAGACACAGAGCCGTGGGAACCCAACAGTGGGATAGTGGGCAGACTGGGGGCCCAGAGAAGAAGTAACTGAATGCTTCCCACTGACAGTGGCTTCTTTTCCACAGACTCCTAACGCCTAGAGATCCTGAAAAATAGAAGCATACTTGGTACCAATCACTTACAAAAGAATAGGGACTGCCTTTTGAGGCCACTACGTAGCTGTGGTTCATACTAGCCAAAAATCTTCATGCTTTTACTAGGGACTTGCTTTCTATGTCTATGATCAGGGAAATAACTCACCGATGACTTTCTTTTTTCCACAACAAAATCTTCATCCACCACACATCTGTAGTCACATCGAGAAAGAACGTGTTCTTTGCTTTGGAGACAGCACAGGCTCTTCAACAGGTAGGGATCAGAGGAAGACAGAAAGACAAGATTCAAGTAGACACTAACTAGTTCAAGGAACTGGGCAAACAGTAAAAAAGAATATTGGAAAAGATGTTAGCAGAAGACAAATAAGGAAGAGGAAATGTATACCACTGGGAAGAAGAAAAATATCAGTGAAGATGATGAGGTAAGAGAAGAGTCAGTAGAAGCTGGAGTGGAAGACAACCCTATTATCCCCTTGTGTAAGGGTTCCAGCAGAAAAGAGAAGTTTTCTTTCTTTCTTCCTTCCTTCCTTTCTTTCTTCCTTCCTTCCTTCCTTCCTTCCTTCCTTCCTTTCTTTCTTTTTTTCTCTCTCTCTTTCTCTCTTTCTTTCTTTCTTTCTTTCTTTCTTTCTTTCTTTCTTTCTTTCTTTCTTTCTTTCTTTCTTTCTTTCTTTCTTTCTTCTTTCTTTCTATAAATTACCCAAGAAAAGCTACTTTACTTTCTTTTTAACCAAGAATTAGAATATGAATTTGATAAATAGGGACACAGCACTTGACTCTGCAGAGTGATATCACACTCAATCGGGAAACACCTGGTGGCTGAAGTTATTTACTTAGGAAAGAAAAAATAAGGCAGTGATCCAGTGGTCACTGGAATCTTGTCTGATCCTCTGTTATTTTTTCTATAATTTGGGATCGCTGTTGCATCAGGAGGCGATATATCAGAAAGGAAAGTCAAGAGTAGGAAAGATAAAGACTTTACTGAGAGTAATAATGATAAATTCCTTGATCCAACTGGTTTCTTTGAGAAGGATGTGAACTGAATGATGAAATCTGGGAAGACTGATAAGAAGCCAGACACCTTTAAATCATTGGTTGTAAAATTAAATGATGCTGAAAGGGAGCTCTCTGAAATCTCTGAAAGGCTGAAACCCTCAAGAAAAGCTCTATGAGAGACACCATCTCAGGATTCTTCAGATGTGTTC